CTATTGTTAGCTGTCTGTAGGGTTTCCATGACAGCATGCGGAGGATGAAAACGCAAATGGAAATAGGCATATTTATTACTTGCCCGTGAAGAGATCACCCGTTTAATAAACATACAGCTGTATTACACATTGTGTAATACCAAAACGCGTGCTAATGTACTCTCGGAACACGTTTCACGAACAAATATTGAAAGCTCTCAACATCCCTTGGCTTATTCAACGACATTGCGTGTGGAGATGGTAGATCACTGAGAGGAGCTTATGCACAATCGATGACCCCAGCAACCTTGTTGCTAGGTTGACGTCACATGGCATTGTTCCGCCGATGGATCTTGCAACAAAATTCCATAATTTACGTCATCGGGTATTGTGACGTGATTGTAAACTTTGTGGTGCAAGGCCCAGAAGGCGATCGTATTGTAGTGCAATGACAGTCGTTAGTCTAAGTTAACGTATGTGAGTTGCGATTAGCCCTACGATAATTTTGTGGAACGGACGCCTGAATTCTAAAGGTGGACCGTTGTATGGTATTAAATTCATACGTTTCAACTTTTGACGTGTTTGAAGTATTATTCTGTTAAACTCAATTGGACTATGCCGTGGATCGTGTAGGTGTTAGCCTATTCATACTCATCAGTATAATTCTAAAAACGTTATAAATGGCAAGTAATAAATAAAATACTAAACTCGCTCCCGTGTAAAACCAATTTTATGAAACTCGTGAATAGTTGTGGTATCTGACTCGCTTTCGCTCGTCAGATACCACAACTATTCACTCGTTTCATAAAATTGGTATTACACGGGAGCTTGTTTAGTATTCTATATTTATATTGTAATCCCGGGTTTGATAAACACTGGCTTCTATTCAAACTGGCAAATAGTATTTTGTCACTCATTTGTAAGAAAAACACTCAAGCTTTCTCTTCAAATTGGCTCTAATAAAACACATGAGTGAAGCCAGTTTACTCTATGCAGGGCTTGCACGGTTGGCTTTGCTGTGTGGAGCTCTAATGTTTTGGTCTGAGAACTTAATTGGGCATGTGACGTCACAATCGGAAATTATTTCACACATGATTCAAAAACACACAGAATGTCGACATCCTGTCCCTTTAAAGGCAGATAACCCCTTTTCAAAGCCTTTCACGTCAGAATCTAAATGCAAAGCCTTTTCCAGCTTGTGGAGAATTTCATGGAGACAGTCCGATGCTGAATCCTTGTTTCATGGGTGTTCTTGGTCAAAAGGTGAAGTCAAATATATCACCCATATCATGTTTGGCTTAGGCTAAATTTCAAGTCATAAATGTTTTAAAAAAATAACAATATCAAAATACTTCAGTCAACCCATGCTTAAACAACAAAATCTAATTGATCTATCCACAAAGCACAACACTGGAATCAAAATCTCTGCCTTGTCAAAAGCAACAATCTGTTAAACTTACATTATTAAAGCTATACATGAGAACAATTAAGCATTTCTCTATTTGGCACTGAGCTTTTCTGTAAGAAAAATCTATGGTATGGCAAAATTTCACATTATTGTGGGAAGCAAGCATGTCTTTGAATACATTTTCTTGAAAAATAACAATCATTTCCTATTACGGTGAAAATATTTCAGAAATTTCATATCTGTCTTGGTCTTAAAAGCTCTCTTTAGTCCATGGCAAGTACTTGCACAAATACCACTGCCAACACAGGTACATCGTGTACTCTGGATACACTTGGCCATACATGTGTCCACATCCTCACACAAATGACACAAGTCATAAACCGGTATACTTCGAACATTGTAGCAAAATTCATAGTGACAAAAAAATGATCATTAATTATTGCTTTATTAATTTTGTTGTCTATGTGATCCCACTGCCAAAATCACTGTCTGCTTGTAAAGAACCACATCAGTGATTCATATTTTGTAAGATCATTTTGTTTCGAGTTCAAAAAGTCTCAAGGATATGTCAAAACTGAATACCACATGCCAAATTTTCATGTCAACAATTACCACTAGTTAATTTGAACTTGTTTCAGTACAGCCGATATATGAAGATATCCAAATTAAATACATTCATAGTTTCGTTTCAAATCCATCTGTTTAGAACAGATTCGAAATCTTCTAAGATTTTTTTTAGATGTGTAAATAGAGCCTTAAATATTTGATATTATAAATAAGACGATCTGCCCACCTGAGACATTGTTAAACACATTGAGATCTGACATGTTTCGACTGGTATCTGAAACTAAATGTCACAACCTCTGGTTAAACCATTCCCCCAGGCCACAACAACGTAATAATCATCAGTGTTGAACCGACAAGAAAAATCTTTTTTTGTAATCTCTGGGCTGTGAATTTGTAATCAGGAGCAGGTAACTCTACCCATGGATTACCTCCCTTACCCTAACTTCAAAACTTTCCAATCTGATTGGATATTTGTATTGCAAATTGTCTCAAACTGTTTTTTTAAACATTTTTGGCTTCATCAGGCAGTGGGTGGATTATTAGTCTGGGTGGCACAGAGTGAACCTTTTCCAACAGCGAAAAATCAATGGGAAACATCAGCGACAAAGTCAGGAATTATCACGAGAACGTAGAACAAGAGGCACATGGTAAGGGGAGAAAGGGGGACTTGTTCCTGCACCTACATTCAACATACTCCAATGAATGAGCAACACTCTTGACATTCATAAACCAATTAAAAATTAACAAGGGAAAATTTAATCCCTTGAAAATCCAAAGGTTATGCCCATCTTGTGATATTGTTGGCAAAGATGAATACCATCTTATGTTTGTTTGCCCTTCATATGAAAATCTAAGAAGCATGTACATTCCGCACTGGTTTGTGTCTCATTGTAAAGCTATAAGGCTTAAAACAATAAAATTAATGGTTCTCAGGCAATGGCTTTTGAAAATATAGTGTGGGTGGGCGGTGTTTATATTATTTTTGGGGGTAGTTCAAACTAGTATGTAACCAAATAAACAGATGTGTAACAGAATAAACAGTTGTGGGAAAGGGCCTCCCTACATAAATGTATTCCTTGATGAGTAAAATACTAGAATACAGTATTTGACTACCGTTGGACTTGGAATATTTGAGGATTTTTTTTTTAAATGGAAACAAAAATGAAATGTGCGACCAACTTTATAATGATGGGGGCGGTGCCTGAGAACCAAAACTATTATTTTTTTAGCCTAAGGTTGTCTTCATTACTGTCCTGCAAGGGCCTCAAATACATCAACTAGCTTTGTACATACATCAAGCATTTGTTATGACATGAATTGTTACCTTGATCTTATTACATATGTTATGTAACTCCACTCATTATGGGCCAGTAGCCTTTCATACAATAACAAATTGAATTGGATTAAATTGAATAATAAACCAATGATTTGAATTGCTTTGGATCATTTGGGTGATGAGAATATCATAAATATTGGATAGAAATGTGCTGTTTAAGTGTAGGCCACAAAGAGCCTAAAAAAAAATAATACTCTTGTTCTCAGGCACCATCCACATCATCATAGAGTCTGCCGCATGTTTTGTCTTTATTTCCATTTAAAAAAACAAACAAACCAATCTTTAAATATTCTGCGTCTCACGACCCTGGCAGTTAAATGCAACAATACTTAAGAAGAACATGATTTCCCCGAAATTATTGAAAACAAAATTTGGTTACATACTATCTTCAACCAGCCCCCGCAAAATAACTGCCCTCGCAATAATTTCAAAAGCCATTGCCTGAGAACCAATTCTATTATTTTTTTAAGCCTAAGCAAACAGGCTTTGATAGCTCAGAGACAAAGACTTAAACCAACTGAAATATATTCTGATAATCGAATCAAGCTGAAACAAAAACCATTGTGGTGCAGATCGATGCCATTGCTTTTTAATTCATTTGTTATTTTAAGGCCTTCACAAGACGGTAACCATTAGCATCAGGTGCATTGCTGCAACCATGCACTCTCTCTGACATATATATACCACAAAGGAACAAGTCCCCCTTGAATCTGTTTTGGCATTCAAACAAGTCAAGCTGAAGCTTCATATAAGCAACAAAGATCAACACTGGCAAGACAGGGGCGCATCACATGCGGAACTCACGGAAGACAACAATAAACAAAGCCGATTTTCGATCAAGCTGAGAGAAACGGGTCAGTAATAGATTGTAGACCTCTAAATATTCATTTAAACCAAGCAGAAATTGAGAGGAAGATTGTATATGATAAACCCAGACAATGGATGGCGGACATTTGACACTTTCATATTCTGTCACGACTGACACCACACCATAACCAAACCTCACCATTGTGGAAATCCAACACACGATACATTTCGTTGGTTGTAAATTATGCATTTGTTTGTATGTTTGTATTTGGGTTAATCAGATAAGGGATCAAAATCCTTTTAATTTATTAAGATATGACTTGTCACAAACTATTTTTAAATATAGAGAATTCTTTAAATATTTTCAAATAATTACTTTAATGATGTAGCAGAAGTGCTACTCGTGACCTTTGGTAACGGCTGTGAATACAAGTATAGATGCTGTCTACTTTCAGATTCATGCTATCATTTTAAATGATATAGTATAACCACATCTCAATCTCATTAAAATCAGACCTTAGTCCTCGCTACCGCTAAACAAAGATCTAAAGACATCCCATTACGGGTCACGTCAGACCGACCTTGCGTGAACTTTGACCGACCAATGGAATGACCAATCAGAAGGTAGCTTTCTCGTGCTTTACGGCACTAATTTCAAACTGGCGACTATGCTTCGAAACACATCTTGACAAATTCTGATTACAAATTTGAAACCTAAACAAAAGAACATTCTGGAATGGCTAATATATGGTCTAGATTGTATGGATTCAGTGGTTAAACCCGTAACTATCGTTTGGAATACCCCGTGTTAAAGTTTTTGACGTTGTATGAATAGAAATCACATTCCGACTGTCACTTTCATGATCTGGTAAGCGACGCTCTGATTGGTCGGATGAAAGGTCGTCTGACGTGACCCCAAATGGGATGTCTTCAGATCTTTGTTTTGCGGTAGCGAGAACTAAGATCTGATTTTAATGAGATTGAACCACATCTTGGTTTAATAAACAAACACTCACATTCTTACATACATCGACGGAGAGACGTAACTTTTTGGCAAATACAATTCAAAGGCATCATTGTGTCTGTATCACACAGCAAAGCATGGAATAACATTTCGCATATTATGCATGAATTCTCTTACAAATATACATTTAAAATATATTCTTAGAACAAAATCAGGAATGAGACAGGTATTGATATGTTTAGTGTTTTGAAAAAATATCGTCACTTTAACTGAGATCATGATAAACTTTGAGTGAACCCTGAAATGCTTAAAACTATGTTACAAATGAACTTAAAAAAGTCCAATTTTTTTTAAAGTCCAAGCTATCTATAATTAATTGCGGGACAAGTTAAAAATATTTTTAAAATGTTTTTGAAAACTTATAGTTGCTATACACTATAAAGTGTAAAATCAATTAAAATGTATGCATCTTTGACAGAATAAGGTCAATTACAAGCACTGATATGATCTTGAAACATGGTCCTTCCATCTTGCTAAGGGTTCTGTTTCACTAAACAAGCTTAGTGGCCCTGACAATCAGTTTATGTTAAGATCCTAAGACACTGGACCTGATCAGTAAGCTTTGACCCAACAATGAAGATAAGTGAACAAAACATGATTTTGTGGATGACGATGAGCTTATGACAAGAAAAACTGATCCGACTTGGAAAGAAGGTCATTTGGCCTTCGCTTCTTTGCTGATCGAGTTGTTCGAGCGAGACGATGGGGAAGAGGCTGCTGAAGGTTGTGGCGCTGGTAGCGCCTGGATGCAAACATAGGCTCTCTTCCGTTGAAGATATCTTTGAGAGGGGGTAGACGGATATTATGTCACCTGGTTGACTGAGGTTGGCCTGGTCGGGTGGCTGGCGATGAGGGCTGGGTAGAGCCTGGGGTGAAGGCGGGGCCCAGGGAGGACGTGCTACTGGTCTGGGAGAGAGATCGTGGGGGGAGGGGGCGTGGCCCCCTCCGAGGCACCTTGGGAAGCTGTGATGTGGAGGCACTGTGACAAGGCAAATGGAGAAGAATCAGTGAGTGAGTGGTTGAGTTTGGTTTTATGCCGCTTTTAGCAATATTCCAGCAATATCACGGCGGGGGACACCAGATTTGGTTGGTTTGTTGTTTAACGCCGCACTCAGCAATATTCCAGCTATATGACGGTGGTCTGTAAATAATCGAGTCTGGACCAGACAATCCAGTGATTGATATCATGAGCATCGATCCACGCAATTGGGATCGATGACATGCATCAACCAAGTCAGCGAGCCTGACCACCCGATCCCGTTAGTCGCCTTTTACGACAAGCATAGTCGCCTTTTACGGCAAGCATGGGTTGCTGAAGACCTATTCTATCCCGGAATCTTCATGGGTCGGGGGACACCAGAAATGGGCTTCACACATTGTACCCATGTCGGGAATCGAACTCGGGTCTTCGGCGTAACCACTAGGCTACCCGACCGCCCCGGAGAAGAATCAGAGTTGGGTTTACAGTGGCTTTGAACATTGTTTCAATTATATCACAGCATGTCACGTTAGATTTTTTATTTAACAAGAAACAAACAAGAATAGGTTTGTTGGATGGTTGGTTTCTTGTTTAACGCCGCACTCAGCAATATTCCAGCTATATGACGACGGTCTGTAAATAATCGAGTCTGGACCAGACAATCAAGAATAGGTTTGAATAAAACATTTATTATAGGGGGTTCAATTTTGGGTAGACCTGCCACGAAGTTTAGGGACTCTTACAACAAGAAATAGAATGTGGGGTCCTTACTGTGGGACTACATAATATAAACAACAGTATGAGTGAGCGAGTATGGTTTTACGCTGCTTTTACCAATATTATGGCAGGGAACACCAGATTTGTTTGTTTGTTGTTTAGCGCCGCACTCAGCTATATTTCAGCTATAAGACGGTGGTCTGTAAATAATCAAATCTGGACCAGACAATCCAGTGATTGACATGAGCATCGATCCACACAACTGGGATACATTGACATTACCTGGAGTTAACACCGTGCAATTACCGAGTTAACACCATGAGATTACCTGGAGATAACACCATGGGATTACCTTGAGTTAACACCATGAAATTACCTTGAGTTAACACCATGAAATGAGCTGGAGTTAACACCATGAGATTACCGAGTTAACACCATAAAATTACCGAGTTAACGCCATGAAATTACCTGGAGTTAATGCCATGAAATTACCTGGAGTTAACACTAATATTTGGAGAAAACATTTACCTCAGTTTTAGATTGCTTTCCAGTTTGTCGTTCTTTGTTGCCGGAGCGCTGTACATGCGGGAGTCGCGGAACGTCATAATGGAGGAATTTGGCGGGTTCCACTACAAAAACACAAACAGCTCAGGTCAAAGTTACGAACATCTAAACAATATTTTCTATATTTGTATACTTATCCTGCATTACACCTTAATGGATTTACTGCTGACCTACAGAACTGTATGAGGTCCAGCTGGGTAATGTGTGAAACAAAAAGTGTGAAACAGGACCCAGGCACAGCACCCACATGACCTTGAAAGTGCTGATGTCACGTGTACTTCATATTACTGCTTGTTACCAGACAGACATGTTGTCCAGCTTTTGGTCTAATTTGTGGTCTTTTTTCTTGCATCAAGGAGAAATGCAGGATAAGTTACCACATATAAAATATTTGTCCGGTGTGGCACTATGCTACGTAGTGTAGATAGGGATGGAAATCAACCAAGAATGTCTACTAGCCCAAACAGCGATAACATTTAGAAATACCCCCCAAACTGTTACCAGCCCTAGGATACCTTTAACATCATCTTCCTGAGGCAAGGGAGTTAAATGACTCTTAAAGTCCACTTTCCACCCCTGTCCAAATAGGCTGGTATTATTTATTGAGTCATATTTTAGATGGACTTATGAGTCTATGCATAGTCCAATCAAAATCGTGTAACAAAATCGGTATCTGGTTCAAAAACTGTCGTGCAGATTTCCCTTGATTGCAAGATGTGCAAAACATGTGCACCGACGACTTGGTGTCAACAGATATTTTCCGAATCTTTTCATGTTTTTGATCAAGGTGCTCATGTGATTTGATGCACTTGGTGATGTAAGACCCGTTTTATCGCAATACAGATCTTGATTATAGATCAGATCGTCTTGACTGGGCACCGCCATTTTTTTTAAAGCCAATCCAAGTAATATAAGAGGTGGTTGGTTGGTTTGTTGTTTAACCTGCACTCAGCAATATTCCAGCTATATGACAGCGGTCTGTAAATAATCGAGTCTGGACCAGACAATCCAGTGATTAATATAATGAGCATTGATCCGCCCAATTGGAATCGATGACATGCATCAACCAAGTCAGCAAACCTGACCAGCTGATCCCGTTAGTCGCCTCTTACAACAAGTATAGTCGCCTTTTACGGCAAGCATATGTTGTTGAAGACCTATTCTACCCCGTATCTTCACGTGTCGATATAAGAGGTGGAATCTGATCGGTCAATAGGAGGGACATAGAAGGGACATAACTTGTAATAGCCACTGGTGGTGCTACGATCAAGCCCAGAAATTCCAGTCTGGTTCGGCAAGGGTGGAAACTGGACTTTTACAGTCAGTTAACAACCTTGCCTCGTGAATATGCTTTAAACATTAACAAAACTGGCATGGGCTGGCGCTAATGTCCATCCCTGGCAGATACAGTATAAGCCTACTACTCCACCTGATGACTGGGACTGTCCGTGGGGTTCTCTAGATGGAGTCCCTCCCCGCAAAATGCCTGCAGCATGGCGATACCTGCAACAAACCATGAGTGAGTGAGTTGGGTTTAACACTGATTTGAACAGCATAACATGACATAGTAGTTAACGTGTGAGGTGATGACGTTTACCACTCTGATGAAAACAATCAGCTGGCAGTATATGGACAACAAGAGTTTGCCACTAACGTGGCTATATCCCCCACCCCTGTTGCAGAATTTATGACATAATTAAATCTAAACAAACCCTAATCCTTTTTAACCGAGGTGGAACTTGTCATGGAAATTGTAAAAAAAGAAGAGTTTGGAACCAAAGTCCATCTTGTTGCTATGGAAACATAAAAAATAAAAATTTCTAAAATTTCTAAATAGCAAAAGGCACCAGTTCAGCATGTACCTGACAGACCTGCAAATTTTGATGAAAAAATATTGAACGGTTTATGAGTTATTCTCCGGAAACAAACCCTACCCTCACAGAACCTAATGGAACCATGGAAACGAAACGTGATGGACGGAGCCCGTTTCTATATTCCCCGCCAACTTTGTTGGGCGGGGGATAATAACGGAAGTGAAGCTTGGATTCCAACTTACAACCAGCAGATCTGAGTGAGTGAGTGAGTGAGGTTTTACGCAGCTTTTAGCAATATTCCAGCAATATCACGGCGGGGGACACCACAAATGGGCTTCACACATTGTATCCATGTCGGGAATCGAACCAGGGTCTTCGGCGTGACGAGCGAAACGCTTTAACCACTAGGCGTCCCGACCGCCCCCCAGCAGATCTGAACATGGCTGAGAGATGCAGCTGGCAACACCTGGTCCACTAGACCACCTCAGAGTCTCAAGAGCTAACATCAGGTATCACGGTGCAACACTCACAAATGTGGGCAACACCAACGTCAATACAGGGATTTTATCTTAAAGGCAAGAACTGGCTTAATGATATTATATAAGATAGCTACACGATAAAACGCAAAGAACAATGGGGAACGAAATGTGGTTTATTTCATGATAAAACATTGTTCTATCATGACGTCATTTCTGGAGATTCGAATATGTGCTCACAACTTGATGACGTCAAATATTGGATGACATTATTTTTGAGAGGGAAGTGTCTAGTAAGTGGTTCCCCACAGATGTAGCTGGGCTACACAGATAAACGTACTGGCTGAACGAATGCATCCAAAAGTGGGACAGATATGACAATCGGTATTAGGAGAAAAGGAGAAATCGACGTGAGAATATGTGTGGAATACCAAATTTGACTAAAATTGACTAATCATGGTCAGACTCTATTCAGGGAGTCATCATTATTAAAATTTGGGGAAATGTTTTTAAAGCTTGTACATTTTATCAACATCCTTAAAGTGAGTGAGTGAGTGAGTGAGTATGGTTTTACGCAGCTTTTAGCAATATTCCAGCAATATCACGGCAGGGGACACGAGGCTACCCGACCGCCCCTACATCCTTAAAGAGGCTGTACATATGTTGATATCTCATATAAGAAATACATGACTCGTGGTCATTGTTTATCGTACAATAAAACACTGCAGGGAGAATAAAACCCCATTTCTTACAAAAAGCCCTGAATTTGTCTTATTCATAATCAAGTCTGCAAAAGTCAAACCAGTTGTAGAAGCCATGAGCCTTCAAACAACGACCAGTAGATCTGAACATGTCTGAAATGCAGATCACATGACCTTTAGAAGCTAACTGATCACAATTGCCAACCATGTGCAGCGAACTTTATGATGATGCAAGCAGTGCCTGAGAACCAAGACTATTTTTTTTAGCCTTGGAGATATCAGGATATCAGTCATAGAATGTTTCTGTAGTTAGTATAGACAGAGAGAGATGGACTGACCTCTCTGTTCCATGCGGTTGAATCTCTGAACCCACTGGTCAAGCAGGAGGTTGTTGTAGCGAGGCTGCTCAAACAGGCGCAGGTACTTGTGAGTCGACGGAGTGGGGAAAATCCGCTGGTACCCTCCCTTCCGACTGTCCTCGTCGATGCATTCCGTCAGAGTTCGCACATCATTGGGCGTCAGAGTGTCCATGATAGTCTGCATTGCTTGCTGGAAACAGGATTGAATGAATGTCGTCAGTTGACTGACTCTGAGAGACTTGGGTTCCGCTTCACAAAGTGATCTTGGAGCTACGACTTACATGTCCCTGTTGAGGCTTAGGAGGAAATATAATCGTAGCGCTACCACTGCTTCATAAAATGGGTTTGTTTGTTTGTTTAAGGCCTCACGCAGCAATATTCCAGTCTGTAAATAATCTAGTCTGGACCAGACAATCCAGTGATTGATATCATGAGCATCGATCCACACAATTGGGATATGATGACATCCATCGATTAAGTCAGTGAGCCTGACACCCGATCCTGTTGGTCGCCTCTTACGACAAGCATAGTTGCTTTTCACGGCAAGCATGGGTTGCTGAAGACCCTATGCTAACCCGCTTGAGCCTTAAAAAAAAGGTTTCTGCTAATAGCACATTCAATTGTAGATTCCAACTCTATCATGAGCATATGTTTATGAATCACTATCAAATATGCAACACATTATGAGGGCATCACTTCACTATTAGATGGATATGTCTGCAAATGTTTGTGAATAAATAGTTTTGGAGTTGGAAACGAGAAGACTGCCTGGCAGGTGATGGACCGACCTCATCCTGGTGTCTCTGACAGTAGTAGGCATGCTTGGTCCGCTCGTCCGGGGCGAACTGCTGCGAGTACAGCCTCTTGTCCATGCAGTAGTCACTTGAGGGGACATGGGCGCTGGAACACACAACACAGATAGATGAACGCTCAATGACACCCACTCCTTTACTCACTGGAAACCGAATGTGAGTGTGTGCTGCGATCTGATTAAATGGAATTTGAAGCCCGGAAATCCTGTGGACTATTCACTACTGATGACATGGATCTTGATATCTTGATAAGTATCATCCATTCCTCAATCCCAAAACTTGAAGAACGCATCGTTCGGTTGATCAATTTATATTAGATCGAACTTTGAGTAAGATTACTTTCTTCCACATTCTAACCAGGGCAGTTCAGTTATAAAAAAGTTCAATTTTATTTACGAAAAATAATTAACAAAAAAGTTCAGTAATCACAGAAGCATGTGCTGTCATCATTCAAGTTTCCTTCATGATGCAATTATGACATAAACATTATGTATTTCGTTGAGAAAATGATCCACTGAAATGTTAACATCTGAAACCTTTGGCTAACCATGCCAATGGCATCGGTTTCAAATGATAATTTTATGTTGAATTTTCATCCTTATAAAATTTGATGAAACCAGAAACACAACTACAGCCTCCTTAATATTTTGGCAGCTGCAGGGTGGTGCCCTCACCTCAAGTCGCAGGAAGCGCTGGAATTGACGTGCGTGATGTCCGTCTTGTCCGGGACCCGGAAGCCGGCAATGTTCATCAAGTCCTTGATCATCTGCCCCTTGATGTTGACATCTAACTGTGAGTTGGAGTGCAGGCTGGCGGGAACAGAGAGAAAACATTGTCATTGTCATTTCCATGGAAACAAAATGTTTGTTGTTTAATGACGCACTCTGCAAAACTACAACTATAAGATGGCAGCCTGTAAATAATCGTGTTTGGACCAGAAAATCCACTGAGACCCCAGGGGCCTGATTTTAACATCAAGTCAGCATCTTATAATGTCTTTAGTCTCACCTGGGTGAGATTCTCTATTATCTCACCTGGGTGAAATTCTCTTTTTATCTCACCTGGGTGAGATTCTCTATTAATCTCACCTGGGGGAGATTCTCTATTTATCTCTCCTGGGTGAAATTCTCTATTTATCTCACCTGGGGGAGATTCTCCATTTATCTTACCTGGGTGAAATTCTCTTTTTATCTCACCTGGGGGAGATTCTCTAATTATCTCACCTGGGTGAAATTCTCTATTTATCTCACCTGGATGAGATTTCTATTTATCTCACCGGGGTGAGATTCTCTATTTATCTCCTGGGTGAGATTCTCTATTCATCTCACCTGGGGAGATTGTCTATTTATCTCACTTGGGGGAGATTCTCTATTTATCTCACCTGGGTGAAATTCTCTATTCATCTCACCTGGGTGAGATTCTCTATTAATCTCACCTCGGGGAGATTCTCTATCTATCTCACCTGGGGGAGATTCTCTATTCATCTCACCTGGGGGAGATTCTCTATTTATCTCACCTGAGTGAGATTTTCTATTTATCTCACCTGGAGGAGATTCTCTACTTATCTCACCTGGAGGAGATTCTCTATTTATCTCACCTGAGTGAGATTTTCTATTTATCTCACCTGGAGGAGATTCTCTATTTATCTCACCTGGGGGAGATGTTGACCTCCAGGATCCAGGGCTTGAGGTGATCATCAAGCAGGATGTCAAAACCAAACAGCTCGTGGACACAGTATCGACTCCGCACATTCGACTTGATCATGCTGTTGATAGGCGCTTCTGAGCTACAGGAACAAAATAAAGTCAGCACTACAACTCAAACTTGATACAAGCTCAGGTAACCAAGGTAACTGGCCTGCTGGCAGTACTTACTGACCACTGTATTGGATCAAGCACCAGATCTAAGATCTAACTTAAGGTTTTCCTCTTCAGCACTTGAATCTAAAGACCCCTTAAGTCTTGAATATTAGGACTAGAACAAGTAGCTCATGATATGTAAAAATGCAATAGATTTGAACTTGATAGCTGTTAGTGGCCTCATCGCTCCATGCCAAAAGGGCATGGAGACATGCTGATAGCCATGCCCACCATACTCCAACAGGATTCAGCTATAATGACCAGTCAATCCTCGTTTTAGTCCTCGTAATGAACGAATGCACTACCCTTGGGCCTGACAAATCAGTGGTTGATAGCATGAGCACCGGTTCACGCCACTGATCACCTGATTGTCATGTTAGTCTGCTGTTTGTGGCAGAATAGGGTGCCAAGGAGGTTTTTATTAACATCACATTCAAGATGATTGCACTTCTATAGGGACAGGTCAACAAGTCCTTGCTTTAGCCCCTTAATGCCAAGCATCTGGCAGGGTAACAACAAGTACCATCTCTTGACGTCTTTATGTATGATGCGGCCAGGGATTTGCCCCACGACCTTCCGATCTCCGCTCTGCCACTAGAGTGAGTGAGTGAGTTAGAATGTAACGTCACATTTCAGCCATATCGTGACGAGAACTGAGACATAATAAACAGATTTATATTGAAGAAAAACCTGTCAGAGAAGGACAGTAGAATAACTAGAGTATCACAGTTTCGAGAAGGTTTAAAAGAATATAATTTCAATCAACAATACAATATAAAGATGGGCTACAGATCGCCAGCAACCAAAGGAAGGCCACCTTATCTACCACTAGACCAAGGAGGCGGTCCTCACCTGAATGTGTGTGAGTGAGTGAGTGAGTGAGTGAGTGAGTGAGTGAGTGAGTGAGGCAGGTGAGGTGAAATTGGGTTTAACGTCGCGTCCAAGATTATTGCACTTTTATAGCGACGGGCATGTATGTTTGTGTGGCTGCTTGTACTAGTCCGGACTGATGCCGATTTATAGTGCTAGCTCACTGAGATACCATGCCGCAGTTTAACATGAATATCCCACTCAGACACAGTATACTGACTCCGAGCCGACCAGTCCTTGTTTTAGCCCCTTAATGCCGAGTGCCAGACAGGGTAACAACAAGTACCATCTTTTAACGTCTTTTGGTATGGCGCGGCCGGGGATCGAACCAAGACCTTCTGCTCTCCAGGCGGACGCTCTACCACTAGACCACGGAGGCGTTGAGTGAGAGAGTGAGTGTGAGAGAGAGAGAGAGAGAGAGAGAGAGAGAGAGAGAGAGAGAGAGGAGAGAGAGAGAGAGAGAGAGAGAGAGAGAGAGAGAGAGAGAGAGAGAGAGAGTGAGTGAGCGAGCAAGTGATAGGCACATCTCAACATGTGGTTGATATTGGAGGAAAGGCCAAAGTGCTCCTGGTCTAAGACTGTAGTGGAACCCACGAGCAGGGATGGATGTACAGGCTCACCTGATGATGGTCTTGACCACCAGGTCCTTGACGCTGTCCCAGATCCCCACCGTGTTGATCCCCTGTCTCTTCAGGTAGTTCCACAGCGCCTTCAGACTCCTGCAACATCAACACAACTGGCATCAGTAAACAAGTTTGTTGTCTTTTTAGGCTAAAAAAAATAGTCTTGGTTCGCAGGCACTGCCCACATTATCATCAAGTTCATTGCACGTTTCATTTTTGTTTCCATTTTCTTTCTTTTTTGTGCATTGTGTTTAAGTATTAGGATTTTTATATTTTTTTGAAAATGGAAATAAAAACAAAACGGGCGGCAGACTTTATGATGATGCTGGTGGTGCCTGAGAACCAAGACTATTCTTTTTTTTAAGCCTTAGTTAATTTGTTGTTAACGCCAAACTCCAGTATTCAAGCGACATTATGGCGGTCTTTAGATAATTGAGTGTGAGAAAAAACAGGAACTGATATTGTGAGCAGTGTCTATGCCCATCAGGGTATGGTGACACACTATCAACCAGTCACCAAGACTTACCACCCAATCCACTTTCATGCCTCTCACAAGAAGCACAGGATCCTGGGGACTTATTCTCTCTTTCACTTCACCAGGACTTCCAGCTTAAGAACATTAATAGTCCATTTGTATTGCTCTTTTTCCATGCTAGACATCATGCCCAAAACATACCCTTACTACCCTGGTCAATGGATCAGTCTGCACAAGATCTCAACTCTCAGCTCCCTGGGGAGTATACAACCGAAGCTGCCTGTGCAGCTCTACAAGGTTAACAGTCACACTACCATCTCATTCTACCAGGTACCCATTCAGTGCTGGGTGAACAGAGGTATATCTTGACCAAAGTCACTTGTCTAGACACCATGTGCTACATGTGTGCTTCAATGTGGGGCAGGACCGAAGCCTTAAATACTAGGGCTGGGACGAGTCCAAATTTACTACCCGGGTATCCGACCTCCTATTACCCGACCCTACCCGGGTACCTGCTGCAGGTCTCAAGAGTTGGGAACAAAATGTCTGATTGGGAATTGATTTGCCGCAGCCCTGGCCAAAACTATTTAGACACATGTATCAAACAATCAGATCATGCTTACACGGAAGTTGACGGAAGCGTTTTTCTTTTCTCGAACATATGCAATTCAAAAGGAATGTGTGCATTGTTAGAAAAGAAATGCGAACATCAGTGACTTGTAGTGTAACCACTGAGCTTGTGAGTTTTTGTCATTAAACAATATATCACATGAATAACCAAGGGTCTGGGTAGTCCTGTGGGTACCCAGGTCCTACTCAGGACCCACCTGACCCGAGTATGTGAGTTACCCGTTCCAGCCCAACTAGATACTCTCAGGGGAAAGCATGTGGGAAAATCAAACCCAGATCTTTGGTGGGACGACTGAACACTGTGACCACTCACCACTTGTGACCCTGGCACACGGAGTCATCAGCGTTGCTGACGTATTCCGTGTTCTTCTTGTTGACGCTGTAGTTGGTGAGATGCATGAACTTGTTGCTCAGCGACTTCATGGAGGAAGAGTACCTGCAAGAGTGAGTGAGTGAGTGAGTGAGTGAGTGAGTGAGTGAGTGAGTGAGTGAGAGAGATTTATCAGCACATCCTAAGTGATGCTGGTCTCATCATCCCGAGACAAGGGAGTAAACTGACAAATATTCATGAAAATGTCAAACACAATAGTGAGTGAGTGAGGGTCGGTTAAATTCATCAAATGAGAAAATGTGAAATTAATACACACAAAAGGGCCGTTCTCTGGAAAAAGTACGCCGCTTTTAGCAATATTCCAGCAAAATCACGGAAGGGGAATTGAAACCGGGTCTTCAGTGTGACGAGCGAATGCTTAAATCACTAGGCCACCCGACCACCCTGTCAAACACAATAGTACTACATAACTGAACATAATTACCCAATGTAGCCTTTTCAGCTAGTGTGCCTAAATATCTTTATATTCTGTATTTACAGTTTGAATGCAGCCTTCACATAAACTCCACTGCAGTGAATAATGCACAAAACTGCAACATCACTGCAGTAAACTTATGCGACATCTGACACTTTGGGGGCCAGTACAAGTAGAAAAAAAATCCTTCTCCATGGTTTAAAAATACCCAATAGACTGGAACCAAGGGAATAAAATATATTCAATACCCAAGAAATCTTATAGACAATGTGGAGGCACGGGTGGCCCAGTCGTCTAAGGTGCCGCGATTCGCTGTGCAGAGTTGCTTCCCTTGGGCACGCCAGAAACCTATGATTGTGGGTTCGAATCCCGGTTCGCCCTGAATATTTTTCTAAGTTTGTCAGCACCATACCCGTTTTACCGAAGTGGTGAACGTCTGAGACCTGCTTCACTTCGGGCTTTCCTCCCACATTAAACTGATACGCTTTGATATAACTGGAATACTGTTAAAAGCGGCGTTAAACACAACTCACTCAATTAGACTCACAAAGACTATGATTGAGGAGCAGAAAATTTGGAAACCCTCGGACATGTTGGAAACAGATAACTTAAGTACAGTCAACTCATTTTAACTGTTTGGAAACTACAAAATCTTTCAAGTTACTCACTTGCAAGAAGCGAATCGTGCGAGGCCATCTTCAAATATGTAGATTCTGAGTGGATCATAGCAGCTGACATACACATATACACGCATGTCGAACTTGCTGTCGTTGATCAGGTATGGTCTTCCCAAATATCTGGAACAACAACATGACGCTGTTTCATGCAACATAACAACAAAACAAGTGCATTTAAAATGCGCCAGATTCCATTCACCAAGTTGATGCTCATAGCGATACACTATTATTACCCCGGTCAATTGATCAGTGAGCACTCGATTTTCATGCAAGCATGTTTGTTTGTTTGTTTCTTGTTCAACGCCGCACACAGCAATATTCCAGCTATAAAACAGCAGTCTGTAAATAATCGAGTCTGGACCAGACAATACAGTGATTGACAGACAACATGAGCATCGATCCACGCTATTGGGATCAATGACATGCATCAGCCAAGTCAGCGAGCCTGACCACCCAATCCTGTTAATTGCCTCTTACGACAAACATTGTCGCCTTTTGCGGGTTTCTGGAGACCTATTCGAACCTGGATCTTCACAGGTTCATGCAAGCATGACTGAAATTACCAGGACAGACACCATGATTAGAAATCCCCCCACAATATACACTCAGCAATACTCCAGGAGTATGATGGCAGCCAGTAAATATCAAGTCTTGGTGAGACGCAATCAACAAATTCACCGAGCCTGACACCCAATCCGTTAAGCGGCTCCTGATGACCTGTGTAGTTGCTGGAGACTGTTCTAACCAGGAATCCCTACAGGGGCTTCAGCAATGAAGCAAGCAGAATCACTAATAAATGCCTTTCCCTTGACCAAAACGGTAGGTTTAAGTTTCATCTGTACTATCATGGGATTTGCTGTTTTCATAAAACCTAAAATATTTTCTTTTAAAACAGTGCCCTATTGCTTATCTTTGAACATGCTAACACAAAGATGCATCTTGGCATGGCCTGCTAGTCTGATTGTGTTGTGTTAAAGCTTTGCTTTGGGTATAGTTTCAGTTTTTAAGTATAATTTCAGGCTTATTATGGAATACCCTCACGTCTTATCACTGTAAGGGCAAGTTAATGCTTCAGGTTATGTTGTATACCTGGTTAAACTAACATAATAAATAATTCTTCTCCGACTGCAACATTGATTGGCATTTTCTTTTCATAATAAGGCTTCAGGAGCAACAAACTACTTTCTTGCACAACTAGTAATGGATAGTTGACAGTGAAGAGGACTTCTGTTGAAAGTCAAAAGATTTTTATGGTGTGATGACAGCCAAAATAGTGGATTTATGTTTGTTTGTTGTTTAACGCCACACTCAGCAATATTCCAGCTACATGACGGCGGTCTGTAAATAATCGAGTCTGGACCAAAAAAAACAGTGATTGACATGCATCAACCAAGTCACCAAGCCTGACCACCCCACCTCTTACGACAAGCATAGTCGCCTTTTACGGCTGGGTTGCTGAAGACCTATTCTACCCCGGATCTTCATGAGTCACAAGATTTATGGCAGTGATGTTATAGAGGTAGGATATTCGCAGGAATTACAGCCTTCCACTAAACAGGTAATGGTGTCTGTCGAGTGTACTCTCACCTCTGCACTATGACCGGCCGCCGGCGGGGGATCTGCGTCCACTTGTGTATCACCTTGATGCCGATGCCACGCGCTGATGCAGGCTGGGAACACAAGACGTATTGCTTGTAATGTCGTCAGCAATTTACTGTACGATAATATTCAGGGTAAATGAGAGAATTTTGTATGAGTGCCGTCAGCCATAGGCTCGTTGTGTCCCATTTCCATGACTACCCACCGGTTTGATGATCCACTTCTGTTTGCTGCCCCCATCCTCCCAAGCCCTCTTCAGCAGCTTCAGATCCTGTGGCAGCACGTAGGTCTGTGGGAAGAAGCCGAACTCCCTCTTGCCGAAATGCACCTGCATCTTGGAGAGATTCCTCCATAGTCTGTCCTTGCGGCCGATTTGGAAAGAGCCGGGGAAATGGTTCAACTGGAAGTCAGAGGTACAACAGATATCACCAGGGAGTTACGTGTTGTTGTTTTTTCGGGTTCAAGGGACTCAGCCTTTGATAGGAGTCAGGTTAAAATATGGAAACCACAAGCTGCAAAATGGGGGTTCCAGCATCAAAAATTGAATTCAGTACTCTACAAGAGACAAACGACTGCACATGCAAAGAGGCTGTTTGTTGAAAATAGACAGGACCAAATGTCTGTTGTTTGTTCAAATGATTATGTACAGAAATTAATTTTACATGGTACCAAATTATGAAACAGCAGCATTCATTCCTGAAATGCACACAAATTTTCTGTATCCCAGTGGATGCTCTTTGTATTGTTTTGCACCCTACTTAAAATTTTATGTGTTAAGGATGCAGAATTTTGAATTCAGTAAGTCCCTGTGTCATAAAGCTGCATGACCACATTGGTTCTGAGGCAATATGTTGGGTTGGTTGGTTGGATGGTTTGTTGTTTTACGCCACACTCAGCAATATTCAAGCTATATGACGGCGGTCTGTAAATAATCAAGTCTGGACCAGACAATCCAGTGATTGATATCATGAGCATCGATCCACACAATTGGGATCGATGACATGCATCAACCAAGTCAGCAAGCCTGACCACACGATCCCGTTAGTCACCTCTTACGACAAGCCGAGTCGCCTTTTACGGCAAGCATGGGTTCCTGAAGACCTATTCTACCCCGGAATCTTCACCAGTCCAATATGTTGGGAAACATTGGTACAATTTCTAGGTTTTACTACAGAGGGCAGGCTTACTACAACATCATGTGCATGCATCTATCACAATGATAAGGAAAGATGGTCAGAGTTCATGAAGTACAAAAATGCCAACACTTATTTTGTAGAATCCGTGGGACATCCACATGCTACAGTAACAATCTCTACGTATCCATCATGAGTTGGATTGTTAAGAACATCTGATTATGACTTCCTGTAACCTCGGCCCATGGCAGAGAAAGGAAAACAAATTGTTTCCCACAGGAAGACAGTATGCCTGTTGCTAAAAACTCCTGGACTTACTTTCTGATATTCTCGGATGGCCTTGAATCCCTGAGATTTCATATGCTTCCCAAAACATCCCAACCAGTCATGGTTTTCTGAAACAGAAACATTATCTTTAGACTTTCTTCATTTCTCAAGTCTGAAAGTAACAACCAAGAATACAACTGGCACACATGTAAGTTCACAAAACACTGCACTGCAGCGGTCAGATTAAGGGGGTCCGGAGTGTCCTGGACGTATCCCCCAAGGGTATTTGACCCCTTGACTCCATGCCTCATTTCAAACAATGATAGTGATAATAATAATAAGAAGAATGAGAAGAAGAAGAAGAAGAAGAAGAAGAAGAGTGAGTGAGTGAGTGAGTGAGTGAGTGAGTGAGTGAGTGAGTGAGTGAGTGAGTGAGTGAGTGAGTGAGTGAGTGAGTGAGTATGGTTTTACGCCGCTTTTAGCACTATTCCAGCAATATCACGGCGGGGGACACCAGAAATGGGCTTAAAACAATGTACCCATGTCGGGAATCGAACCCGGGTCTTCAGCGTGACGAGTGAACGCTTTAACCACTAGGCTACCCAACCGCCCCAAGAAGAAGAAGAAGAAGAAGACAGCGTTATCACTATCCCCAGCGATGGGGCACATAAGAGTTGTTTTTTCTATATAGTAGTGAATACATAAAAAATAGAGTCCTATAAAGCCTTTAGAAAAGAAAAGTACCAGGGTCGGTTCAATTCATCAGAAAAAATGAATAAAAGTGAAATTAATACACACGAAAGGGGAAAGTACTTCACAGCACCTATTCTTGAGTGGGTGAGTGAGTGAGTATGGTTGACGCCACTTTTAGCAATATTCCAGCAATATCACAGGTGGGGACATCAACACTGGGCTTCACACATTGTGTTCAATGGAGGCACTTGACAGCAAGACATGAGAGCTGGAACGTGTACCGTGTGCCGCAAGCTGTCACTCTGATGGTCTTACTTTTTGTTATTCGAAAGCCGATCCTGGAAAGTGCTGACTTGACAATATTAGGTGTGATGGGGCTCATCCGCCACTTGAGCAGCTTTCTGATATCCCAGGGCAGTTGTTCAACTGAAACATCAACGCGAGAGCTTACATCCTCAATTCATAATTTCAGCTAAAATCCTGCATATGCATACAGTTGAAAAAATGTCTGAATTCTGAGCTACAGATATATATTTGCATAAAATAAGCCCTCACCCCACCCACACAAGAAAATATTCAATACCCAATTACTTTCAATTAACTCGCTGTATACCCAATTAAGCTTTTTCAGCATGCGTACAAAGGAACTTATTTCCAAAACACAATTACGAGCTAATTTACTTTCCAAGTTAAGCCTATATATTTAGAACTGTTACATATGTTACATACACCTAAAACATTTTATTTCATTTTTTTTTTAAATCTTAAAATGTTCACTAACTTTTGGAAAAACACAATAGAGTGATAAATAGATGAGGAAAAATCTAATAACCCAATTAAGATAGAAACCCTATAGTAAAAACTCAATTGCTCAAAATGTTATCTGGAGCTCTGTGAATATATATCAAGCATTATCTACAAAAACTCAAGAAAATTATTTTGCCTTTAGATAGCCACTATTAGCAATATTCCAGGCACATAAATTGGCTTCACACATTTTACCAATGTTGAAAATCAAACAATCATGAAGTTTGTGTATTTAAACTTTGTTTTACTTGAAAACTAAGATCGTACCTTTCTCTCCTTCAGACACAAAGTTGATGGTTGGAGGGATGTTAGGAAAGAGGGACGGTCGAAGAGCAGGCTTCGGTTGGGAATCACTTGTTGAGGCTGTGACTGGACGGAGAAACGTCTTCTGTCGTTCCTCGGACACATGGGCTGGTCTATTTGAGGTGAGGCTGGTTGTGGGACGTTTGTTTGAACGGAAACTGCGAGTTGAATGTCTTGATAGGCTGCTGGCAACCGAGAAGCCATCAGATTCCCCTGGAATATAACAAGAGTGAGTGAGTGAGTGAGTGAGTGATCCTTGGTAAGAGAGGTGGGAAGGGTGGTGGATGAGGGATGTGATGGGTTTGTAGGGTGTGTGTGAGGGTGTGATGGTGTGAGGTGTGTGATGTGAGGTTGTGAGGTGTGAGGGTGTGAGGGGTGTGAGGTGTGTGATGTGAGGTGTGTGATGTGAGGGTGTGATGGTGTGAGGTGTGATGGTGTGAGGTGTGTGATGGTGTGAGGTGTGAGGGGTGTGTGTGAGCGTGTGATGGTGTGAGGTGTGTGATGTGAGGTGTGATGTGAGGTGTGTGATGTGAGGGTGTGATGGTGTGAGGTGTAAGGTGTGAGGGTTGTGAGGGTGTGAGGTGTGATGTTGTGAGGTGTGAGGTGTAAGGTGTGATGGTGTGATGGTGTGAGGTGTGATTGTGTGAGGGTGTGAGGAATGTTAAGCAGGAGCTGCACATGGTCATGGGTATAGAGCTGACACAGCCAAACACAATTTACATATTTTCACCCACTAAACAGATATTTAGTTTTATCCCTATCCAAGCCATTGGCAGCCTATTCATATTTCAGTTAGAATTCTTCAAAAGGTTTAATTTGTCTTGAGAGAAGCCAGGAACGAGTTCATTTCTTGGGACATGCAGGTCAACACCAACACAAGAGATATTTACACAGATTAACAATTCCTTACAATTCCTGGACAATGACAAAAGTTCTGAAGACTTTTAAGATGAAAAAGCAATTTATCTTGTCTATCAACCTACCTTCAATGTCGGAGCCCACGCAGTCGTCGTCAAGCCCATCAATACCGTCATCTTCTTCGTCAAGATCATCATCGTAGCTTGCTTCACCATCACCGGGAAGACGTTCACTGTAAACAAGAAGTCTCAGATCAGCATTCTACAAGAGAATATTTTCTAACATGCATAAATATTTTGGATGTGGTATATAGTGATATGACTGATATCCATGCATCAACAAATTTTTAATGTCGACACTGTATCAATACAAATAAATATTGATATCATTCACATTTGTTAACATTACCTGATTACCATGGTTAAGATAGACAATAAGAAAGCAGAAAGTTCAATTTCAGTTCAATATTTAGCATTGGGTTAACATTGTTAACTTATTGCAGACGTATTTATATAGGAAATTTCTGCAGAATACTAATGGTGATAGTAATCAATATATTGATATACCAAAATACTTTTGAGTCGATATAATGATACAACACATTCCAATCAATGACATCCTAATAGTGAGTGAGTGAGTATGGTTTTATGCAGCTTTTAGCAATATTCCAGCATGCTTAAAGCATTCACTCGTCACGCTGAAGATCGGGGTTCAATTCCTGACATGGGTACAATGTGTGAAGTCCATTTCAGGTGTCCCCCGACGTGATTTTGCTGGAATATTGCTAAACATGCTAAAAGTGGCGTAAAACCATACTCACTCACTCTGGCTCTGAAGTTCAGACTCTGAACAGTGAACACACCAAGATAAATCCATGAGAAAATAATCAAGTCTGGACAAGACAATGCACAGATATCGGGAGCAACGATTCACGATGTCGGGGTACAGTGAAGCAATCAATCAACTTATCAAGTGTGATCTTTCAATCCAGAGAGTTGCCTCGCAGGAAAAACATAGGTTGCTTGGGTCAATTCTCACTGGGCATCCTACGGTGGATAGTTAATATTGAATTGAACAAACAGTGATCCTCTATAGGTACTGAGAAACAGCAGGGAAACAAACTAAAATATGCATGGTGACATAATGGAGTGCCTGCCCATATCCTTGATCATGTTGATGGTATTTTGGTAAGCATTCCCTTGTTTCGGATTAAATTCTATGAGGGCTAACTGCATCTCTTATCTGCTTATGGAATACTTTGTTGGTAAATAAATAAATAAAAGATTTTTTTTTGAAATAAAAAAATAAAAAAAATAAAAAAAATAAAAAATAAAAAAAATAATAAAATAAAATAAAATAAAATAAAATAAAATAAAATAAAATAAAATAAAATAAAATAAAATAAAATAAAATAAAATAAAATAAAATAAAATAAAATAAATAAAATAAAATAAATAGATCTAAATAAATAAATAGATCTAAATAGATCTAAATAAATAAATAGATCTAAATAAATAAATAAATAAATAAATAAATAAATAAATAAATACTGCATCTCTCATGGAATTATTTGCTGGTCAATAAATAAATAAATAATTTTTTGTTTGTTTATTGCCACACAGGAATATTCCAGCTGTATGATGACAGCTTGTAAATAATCAATCCGGTGATCAATATTGAGACAAACGATCTCGTGATTGACATCATGAGCACTGATCCATGCAATTGGGACACGAAGACATGCATCCACCAAGTCAGTGAGCCTGACCACCACTACAAGCATGGGTTGCAGAAGATGTTTTCTCACCTGGATCTTCACCGGACTGGACCAAGCCTAATCTGGAATCACTCCAGATAGTGGTCCATGGAAAATACACTCATTTTGGGGGAGGGGAAACTAGTCTCTCTACATTTTCCCCCACATTCTGAAACTAACCAACTTATAGGTGTGTCTAACGCTAGATCTACTTTGACTTAATATTTTGTTTTTTGTTTGGTGTTTCACACCGCACTCAGCAATATTCTAGCTATATGACGGCGATCTGTAAATAATCGAGTCTGGACCTGACAATCCAATGATTGACAACATGTGCATCGATCCATGCACTTGGGATCGATGTCATGCATCAACAAAGTCAGCGAGCCTGACCACCCGATCCCATTAGTTGCCTCTTACAACAAGCATAGTCGCCTTTTACGGCAAGCATGGGTTGCTGAAGACCTATTCTAGCCAGATCTCTTTTTAATAGCAGAGAAAATCTGTCAATATGATTTCTAACACCCATACAATTTCCATCACCTTTTTCACTTTTGATCACTGGTAATAATTTGACTGATCGTTTGGGTGGAGGATAATATATTTCATTGCACAGGAAGGACAATGGACTCCTTAATTAGGTGAATCCTGAGTTGCTACCATGAAATAATACAATTGTGATAAGGTTGGCTAAACTAAGTCCATGTGTACTCATTTGTGAAATCACCAAAATAATTATTATGCCAAGACGTTAATTTCAAGGTATTGTTAATTGGCTTCTGCACACAATCAATATAACGGCACTTGAAACATTGGCAGCAATCAGCGACATAATGGCCCATATATTCCCTATCACCCTTGTCGATCTGACCACCAAATAGCCGGGCAGTCATACGCTCGTGTATATTCCGTCTCTGAAAGGGGCCCAATCTCTCAAGTGACAGGTTGTGACTTGATCGTGTCGATACACTGGCCAATCAATAGATGTTTGTGATTGCTATCAACATGGCAAAATGCCACGTCAATTTCATTCACGGCTCAGGTATATTTTCCTTTGGAACTGAAAACAGATAATTACTTTTGCTTTTGAGCCACTAGTTCGTCAGTCCATTAAAATATTTGTCACTCAGATGAATTGATAACCTTTCATGGCCCCATTGGGTATTATTATCGGCCTGTAAATACCACACTGACAGGACATTTCCCTGACTCAGCATAACAGGCTTGTAGGTGGAGCGGTAAAGGAAAGCAATAAAAGTTGAGAGGTTTTTCAAGGACCTTTCTCAAAAACATTTTCTGTCATTGTATAAGAGAGCTGACAAAAAACACTGATAGTATCTAATAAAGCTTGAAACATAAAACCCTTGTCTCACCAGGTACTCTCACCAGGTAGAAGGCAGTGTGACATTCCCCTGTGTACATGGTGGAGTTGAGAAGCAACACTGCCATTAAGACACAGGCCCCTTGGAGTGTTTTTCATGGGGGAGGGGGAGGAAGAGAGACAACGTACAATTTTGTAGCTCAGTGAAAAGGGACAGCCCCTGTATCACCATAGGCCTGTTAATTCAGTCTTGGGGGTTTGGATTTGACCAACCATGAGAACCCAAAGCAAATAAAAAACAATTTAAAAAAAAATTTACTTCTTGTTGAAACTGAAAAGTAATTGTACACTTCCCAAATGATAATCAATCAAATTCATTTTTAGTATCCTCCAGTCAGTGTAAACACATCTTCCCGAGGCAAGGGCGTTAACTGACTATATAAGTTCAGTTTCCACCCTTGCTGAACTAGGCTGGAATTTCCAGATAATCAAGATCTATATTGTAATAAAACGGGTCTTACCAAATCAAATCAGTGCATCAAATGACGTGATCACCTTGACCATGTTGACTAAAAGCATAAAAGAATTTGCCCAGTTGCCCAGTTGGCGGTTCACATGCTTTGCAAATCCTTCAGTCGATTGAAATCTGCACTTCAAAACCATTTTATTCAGGAACCGGATGTCTTGTTCGTTCAGCGATCTTGATTGGACTATGCATTGACTCGTTAGTCCAGCCAAAATGTAACTTGGAATTGCAGCCTAGTTCAGCAAGGGTGGAAACTGGACTTTTATAGTCAGTTAACTCCCTTGCCTCGGGAAGATGGGGTAAACACAACATAAGACTAAGAGCACACAGCCTTCCCTTACACAGGGATCTGTCCCTGATTCTAAACTTAGAAAATTGGGGTAAAATCAATTAATTTGTTCAAAATTGAGATCTCATTATTAATATTTTCTCCCAAAATTCAGAGGTATTTTAACATTGCATTCATAGCAACAATGTCAAACTAAGCATAAAGGCCTCTTCCAATTAGTTGGCCATGTTGTCAGTGATAGACAAGTTACAACTTCAAATCCATAACATATCAACCATGTTAACATGAATTGGGAAAATACGAAAATCCAATTTCGGAATTTTTACCGACATTTGCTGCAGACTTGGGCTAAACACCAGTCCTTGAACAGTCTAGGTAAACCCCTGCTTATCACGTGAGTGAGTGAGTGAGTGAGGTTTTACGCCGCTTTTAGCAATATTCCAGAAATCTCACGGCGGGGGACACCACAAATGGACTTCACACATTGTACCCATGTGGGGAATTGAACCCGGGCCTTCGGGGTGATGAGCGAACGTTTTAACCACTAGGCTACCCGACCGCCCCTTCTTACCACTAGACTACTAACTTACATTATATCTGTTAAAATAGTAAACCTTTGCATGTTTAACAAGGAACATTTTCTTTTCCTCCTAACATGCTAATAATCTTTATAACCAATATACAGATATCAAGACACAGTTTTAACGAACCTGATCATTCTCATGGCGACAGAAAGTATTACCATGGCAATTTATGTTGATAATAATAATCAGTCTAAATATATTCAGCACATTCTGTCAATGTTTTCCCATTCCCATCCAGGAGAAATATCAATAATTCATAACAGGATCATTAAAAAAATATATATCTTGGATAGCTGTCTTCAAGAAATGACCAGTGTTAATATTTAAAAGCAGCAATTCAAAATAAACTGAAATGCTTAACTACCCCGGATAAAATGACCTTGTAATGTTAAAACAAGAGTTTGCCACTAACATGGCTATATCCCCCGCCCCTGTTGCAGAATTTATGACATAATTAAATCTAAACAAACCCTAACCTTTTTTAACCGAGGTGGAACTTGTCATGGAAATTGTAAAAAAAAGATGAGTTTGGAACCTCAGTCCATCTTGTTGCCATGGAAACGTAAAAAATAAAAAATTCTAAAATTTCTAAATAGCAAAAGGCACCAGTTCAGCATGTACCTGACAGACCTGCAAAGTTTCATGAAAAAATATTGAACGGTTTCTGAGTTATGCTCCGGAAACAAACCCTACCCTCACAGAACCTAAGTCCATCTTGTTGCCATTGAAACGTAAAAAATAAAAATTTCTAAAATT